TCCTTTTTACATATTGCTGTCAATCACATTGCTTCACGCCATCTTCAGGAGTCTTTTTTTTTTTAAGCTTTCTATATTAAGCAATGTATTATATAATGCAAGAATTCACTCTTAACATTTTGACACTTAAGAGGTTGGGGCTCTTTAATATCTTTGTTGTCTATATTTGGACCAACTCATTTGTAAGGCTCTTGATATTAGTGGTGCAAACTGTTAACCTACATGACGGCTAACTGAAAGATTAGAGGTTCAAGCCACCTAGAGGCACCTCAGAAGAAAGGCCTGGTGATCTACTTCCAAAAAATCAGCCATTGAAAACCCTGTGGAACACAGTTTTACTCCGACACACATGGGGTCACCATGAGTTTGCATCGACTCAACAGCAACTGGTTATATATTTTTTGCTGCTTTTGTAATCCTTGCATCAGTTAACACAATGATCGGCACATAAGTACTCAATACATACTTATTAATGCTCAGACTTTATGTCCCAACTCACATCATATCTAAGATTCCTCATTAATTGACACTGCCTCACCATTTAAAAGAATGCCATACTTGATATTGCACATATTGCTACAGAGAACATTTATCTTGACAATCACAGCAGATCTTAAGTGGTTTTCTAACTTTATTATGTGTAACAATTACCTGTGTTGTATACTAAAAAGGCAAATTTCTGGATTCAACCCCCTGAAATTCTAATTTATTAAGTCTGAGAGAAGCTTAAAACTGCAAATTTTTAGGCACCCAGGTAACTCGTATAGTAGGTTTTTTATCTTTAAGAAACACTGATAAAGAATTGGAGAACTCAAGGAGGAGAGTTTAATGCCTATGTTCACATGGCACTATTGTCCACTACAAGGAGCAGTTTTTTAAAGCTTTACATCTTCCATCTCTTAATACTTGAATATCTAATCTGGAAGTGTAAGAAACACTGAGTAGATTAAGTGAATTCATTTGGGCAAGTACTTTGTACCTATGGGCCTCAGCTTTTTTTAATAAAATAGTAGAATGTTGGAGCTAATAGGAACTCAGGAATCCATTCCTACCCCATCATTTTACACATGAGGAAACCAAAGAAGTCAAACATCCAAGTAATTAAAATCAGGAACAGAATATAAGGCATATCTTTTAATCTTCAGTTGATTAAATGAATGATTCCTGAACTGGATGAAAAAATATATATACATATGTGTATATATGTATATAGTTGTTCCATTAACTATATATATGAAGGAGCCCTGGTGGCACAATGGTTGAGCACTCAGTTGCTAACTGAAAGGTTGACAGTTTGAACCCACCAGTAGTTTCATGGGAGAAAAGACCTGCTGATGTCCCTTAAAGATTATAGCATAGGAAACCCTGTGGTGGGGCAGTTCTACTCTATCATGTAGGGTCACTATGAGTCAGAATCGACTCAACAGCACAAAACAGCCTTATATTAATATATATATACACACATCCACCATACGTTTGTCAGTTTGTCATACTGTGGTGGCTTGCGTATTGCTGTGCTACTGAAAGTTATGCCATTGGTATTTCACATACCAGCAGGGTCACCCATGGTGGACAGTTTTCAGCAGAGCTTCCAGACTAAGATTAGGAAGGAAGAAGGACCTGGCGATCTACTTCTGAAATAATTGACGTGTGAAAACCTTACGAATAGAAGCGGAACATTGTCTCATATAGTGCCAGAAGATGATCCCCTCAGGTTGAAAGGCACTCAAAAGATGACTGGGGAAGAGCTTCCTCCTCAAAATTGAGTCCACCTTAATGATGTGGATGGAGTAGAGCTTTCGGGAACTTCATTTGTTGATATGACATGACTCAAAATGAGAAGAAACAACTGCAAACATCTATTAATAATCAGAACGTGGAATGTATGAAGTGGGAATCTAGGAAAATTGGAAATCATCAGAAATGAAATAGAATGCATAAAGATCAATATACTAGACAGTAGTGATCTGAAATGGATTGGTATTGGCCATTTTGAGTCAGACAGTCATGGTCTACTATGCCAGGAATAACGAAGAGAAATGGCGTCACATTCATAGTCAAAAAGAACATCTCAAGATCTGTCCTGAAGTACAACACTGTCAGTGATAGGATAATATCCATATGCCTACAAGGAAAACCACTTAATACAACTATTATTTAAATTTGCACACCAACCACTAATGCTAAAGATAAGGAAATTGAAGATTTTTACCAATTTCTGCAGTCTGAAATTGGTCAAAAATGCATTGATAATTACTGGTGATTGGAATGCAAAAGTTGGAAACAAAAAGAAGGATCTATAGTTGGAAAATATGGCCTTGGTATTAGAAACAAAGCTGGAGATCACATGATAGAATTTTGCAAGACCAACAACTTACTCATCGCAAGTACCTTTTTCAACAACATAAACGGCAACTATGCATGTGGACCTCACCGCATGGAAAGCACAGGAATCAAATCGATTAAATCTGTGGAAAGAGATGATGGAAAAGCTCAATATCATCAGTCACAACAAGGCCAGGGGTGGACTGTGGAACAGACCATCAATCGCTCACGTGCAAGTTCAAGCTGAAGCTGAAGAAAATTAAGTCCAAGAGAACTAAAATACAAACTGTCCCACCTGAATTTTGAGACTGTCTCAAGAATAGACTTGGCACATTGAACATTGTGATCATTAAGGTTATGTGTCAACTGGGCTGGGTCATGGTTCTCAGTGGTTTGGCAGTTACGATGTTTGGCAATCATATGATGATGTGATCACATTCAGGATGAGATTTTATATAATGCAATCACAACCATGATGGGATCTGCTGTGAGTAGCCAGTCAGTTGAAAGTGAGTTTCCTTAGGGGTGGGGCCTGCACGGAGTATATAAGTGGACCTTCTGGCAAGACTCCTGGCCTTTGCTCTGGCTCCTGTTCATCTGACCTGTGGTTCTTGGGATTTGAGCTAGCAGCTTGCTTGTCATCTTCTTGTCGATCTTGGGACTCGTCAATCTTCACAGCCAGTGAGCAAGAGCCCTGCTGTCTGACCTGGCAATCTTGGGTTTGCCAGCCCCTGTGGCTATGTGAATCAGGAGAAGCGTCTATCCTGACCCACAGACTTGGGATGTTTCAACCTCTACAACCAGGTGAGCCATTTCCTTGATATAAATCTTTCTTTCTAGATATATGTATATGCTTTACTGGTTTTGCTTCTCTAGAGAACCCAGCCTAAGACAAACACTAATGACTGAAAGACCAGACAAGTTATGGAATGACATCAAGGACATCATACATGAAGAAAGCCAAAGGTCATTAAAAAGACAAGAAAAAAAGAAAAGACCAAAGTGGATGTCAGAAGAAACTCTTGAAGTTGCTCTTGAATGTAGAGTAACTAAAGTGAATGGAAGAAATGATGAAGTAAAAGAGCCAAACAGAGGATTTCAAAGGGCAGCTCAAGAAGACAAAGTAAAATATTAATAATGACATGTGCAAAGACCAGGAGTTGGAAAACCAAAAGGAAAGAACACACTTAGCATTTCTCAAGCTAAAAGAACTGCAGAAAAAATTCAAGCCTTGAGTTACAATACTGAAGCATTCTATGGGCAAGATATTGAATGACACTGGAAGCATCAAAAGAAGATGGAAGGAAGATACAGTCACTGTACCAAAAAGAGTTGGTCGATGTTCAACCATTTCAGGAGGTAGCATATGATCAAGAACCAATGGTACTGAAGGAAGAAGTTCAAGATGCACTGAGGACACTGGCAAAAAACAACACTCCAAGAATTGATAGAAGACTGACTGAGATGTTTCAACAAACGAATGTGGCGCTCGAGGTGCTCACTTGTCTATGCCAAGAAATTTGGAAGACAGCTGCCTAACCAACCTACTGGTAGAGATCCATATTTGTGCCCATTCCAAAGATAGGTGATCCAACAGAATGCAGAAATTATTGAACAATATCATTAATATCATATGCAAGTAAAATTTTGCTGAAGATAATTCAAAAACGGTTGCAGCAGTACATTGGTAGGGAACTGCCAAAAATTCAAACAAAAGAGGATGTGGAATGAGGGATGTCATTGCTGATGTCAGAAGGATCTTGGCTGAAAGCAGAGAATACCAGAAAGATGTTTACCTGTGTTTTATTGACTATGCAAAGGCATTTGACGTTGTGGATCATAACAAATTATGGATAACATTGTGAAGAATGGGAATTCCAGAACACTTAATTGTGCTCATGTGGAACATGTACATAGACCAAGAGACAGCCGTTTGAACAGAACAAGGGGATACTGCATGGTTTAAAATAAGGAAAGGCATGTGTCAGGATTGTATCCTTTCACCATACTTATTCAATCTGTATGCTGAGCAAGCAAATAATCCAAGAAGCTGGACTATCTGAAGAAAAAGGTGGCATCAGGATTGGAGGAAGACTCATTAACAACGTGATATGCAGATGACACAAACTTGCTGAAAGTGAAGAGGACTTGCACTTATTGATGAAGATCAAAGACTACAGCCCTCGATATGGATTACACCTCAACATAAAGAAAACAAAAATCCTCACAGCTAAACCAATAAGCAACATCATTATAAATGGAGAAAAAATTGAAGTTGTCAAGGATTTAATTTTACTTGGATCCTCAATCAACACCCATGGAAGCAGCAGACAAGAAATCAAACAAGGTATTGCATTGGGCATATCTGCTGCAAAAGACTTCTTTAAAGTGTTGAAAAGCAAAGATGTTATTCTGAAGACTACTCCTGACCCAAGCAAGCCGTGATATTGTCAATCGCCTCCTGCAGGCAAAAGCTGGACAGTGAATAAGGAAGACCGGAGAAGAATTGATGCCTTTGAATTATGGTGTTTGTGAAGAATATTGAATATACCACGGACTGCCAGAAGAACGAACAAGTCTGTCTTGGAAGCAAGGATGGCGAGACTTTGTCTCACATACTTTGGACATACTATCAGGAAGGACTAGTCCCTGGAGAAGGACATTATGCTTGGTAAGGTAGAGGCTCAGGAAAAAAAAGAGGAAGACCCTGGATAAGTGGATTAACACAGTGGCTGTGACAATCGGCTCAAACATAGCAATGATTCTGAGGATGGCACAGGACCAAGCAGTTGTTTCGTTCTATACATAGGATCCCTGTGAGTCATAACTGACTGGACGGCAACTAACAACTATGTGTGTGTGTGTGTGTGTGTGTGTGTGTGTGAATGAAAAATATTCCTGAGATTTTGATTCAGATCTAGTTTGGGGGTGAGCAATCGTATTTTTAAGGAGCTCTAGCATGCTCAAACTGTGCTTTACTTGTGAAATAAGTAGTTATATTATGCAGCCTTTTGCCATCCTTGTAGATTAATGTTTTTACAAAAGAGAGATATGGGTTGATACTGAGCTAGCAAAAAGACAACATCAGGGACATACAAAGAAATCAAATGTTTGCAAAGTTCGTTTTCAATAACAAAAATGTAGCATAGAGTATTTCCACTGGAAAAAGTCTTCACCTATTATATGTTTCTGATTTCTATCTAGAAAATTAGAATTTGCATAGAGGAAGTGTATTTAATTGAAGCCCAGGAAATAAAAACTACATTTATAAAGGACCATAGGTTTTCAACTTATATATGTGCATGAGAATATGTACATCTACCAATTACCATACTCTATGGTTTTCCAGTGAATTTCCATTCTGCTAAAACCATGAAATTATATGATACAGTGTTTAATTCTGGTGTCCAGGTGAGTGACTTGGAAATCAGGATCAGGAGAATACAAGTAATTTTCTTTAAAAGTGAGCTCTTCCTTTTGAAAATATAAATTACCAAGACACATAAAGGTAGCTATTTCATTTCATGCATTATGCGGATTTTTCTTCAGCCTCTCTCTTCTTTCTTCTCTCTTGGGTTTTTGGCCTAGAAATTGTGAATGGGAAAGCTTAATTAACTAAAGAACCAATATCAAGGAGCAAGGTAATTCTTTATTTTCAACATGACTTGATTTTCTTGCTTGTGCCTGGAACATTGGAGATGTTTAACAAATGTTAGTTAACGGAATAATGAATATTCAATTGCTTTTTATTTTTATTTTATCTTGAACCTGTAACTCAGTTGCTAATTTTCTGTAGAAAAAAATTCTTTTCTTCCTGGCCTAGCTTAATATCAGTTACCTATTCTACCGTATTTTGAAGTGACATAAAGCTGCAAATCCTATTTTCTGAAGTTTGGAAAGATAAATAGAGGAAACAGCTTTGATCATTCCGGTTCTATCCCTTGCCTTCTAGTGTTAGAGAGAAAGCTGAATGCTGACATGGGTTAACAACAGATCAAAGAAAATCTCTTTTTAAGAAAATATTTTATTGTAAATGCCTTTCTCCAATTCCCCAGATTTGAACCCTTAGGTACTTAATAGTTTCCATTTCCCAGCACAAGGCAAATTAGAACTAAGAGCTCCAACATTCCCAGGTGTGCCCAAACCTAGCTATGAGTCCAAACTCTTGAAACAATTCTAGGGTTCCCCAAAGTTTTCTTAAAACTTCAACATTGTTTGTCAAGATGGGCTTTAAAATTTTTGTAACTTTTCTTCTAAAGTTCTGTTTCCACTGTCATTTACTCTCCAGTTTACTCGTCTATCATCTTTCTGTTTTTGAAAGAAAAATGTAATTCTGCAGAGATAGTCTGATTATTTGAATTCTCTCTCCATGTGCCCCTTTAATTCCATCTTTTCATATGTCATTTTCTAATCTTTATCTTACAACGAAGGATCTGCAGAGAGGTTGAGTAATTTGTTCCCAATCACAGAGCAAATTGAACCAGTACAATAGAAGCAGCAACCAGTACCACAGAGCAGTAGTAATCTGGCTGTTTCTGAAAGCATTGACACTTTGCATGAACAGCCCATTTTTGGGCTATTCTTTTTTTGTTTGTTTGTTTTTTTATTGTACTTCAGGTGAAGGCTTACAGAACAAATAGTTTCTCATGAAACAGTAGTACACATATTGTTTTATGACATTAACAACTCCACAACATGTCAACCCTCTCCCTTCTTGACTTTTTTTTTTGGTGAAAATATACATAGCCAAAGATACACCATTTCAAAAATTTCTACATGCACAGGTCAGTGACATCGACTACGCTCTTCCAACTATGCTGCTATTCTTACTTTAGATGAAGGCTTACAGAACAAAATAGTTTCTCATTT